CCTCCTCCTTCTCCTCCTTCTCCTCCTCCTTCTTTTACATTTTTCAGCTTCTTGAGGCTATTGGTATTTCTTGGTTCTTGGCTCATGACTCCCTCCATCTTCAAAGTCAGAAGTCAGTCTGTGTCAAGATTCCAATTCTGGTTCTAGCTGTGCTGTCTCCCTCTTCCACATTAGCAAACAAGAAATGTGACTGCAGGGGCCCACTCAGATATTCTGGAACAATCTGTTTTAAGGTCATCTAATTTCATGCTTAATTCTCCCTTGCCGTGAGACCTATCATATTCTGGGGACTAGGCCATGGACATCTTTGGGAAGCTATGATTCTGCCTACTATATCCATAATCCATCATTGAAATCACTCTCTTTACTTTGATTCCACGAATGCTCAGAGCCATCTAGTAATGTATCATACTTAATCTTATTTTCATAATCTTATTTTCCTGTATCCTAACTCTCTCCTAAAATTCACATCATTGCATGTGCCCAAAATCTGTACATAATACCTTAATATAAGTAATCACTATTACTAACGAACCTCTAGAACAGATAATGGGAACTACCACGAGGGGCAAAATCTGGCTCCCTTCTTGTTCTTGTAAATAAAGTTTTATTGAAACATAGCTGCTACTTTCTTGCTGTGAAGGTAGAGTTGAATAGTCAGGCACCAAAACTATGAGGCTCCCACAGAAGAAATATTTTCTATATACGTGGCCCTTGGTATAGACCCTCTGAGACTTAATGGGGTGTTGTTTCTCTGTATGTCATTGTGACAGGTCCCTTGAAGTCTTTGAAACTTGTGCATTAGTTAGCTTTTGGGGGTTACTCTTAGATTTTGGATTTAGTAGAGATTGTATAATTGTCCAGAGAATTTGGGACAGTGTGGACCCAATAAAAATTACATGAGGTAGTAAAATCATGTTTGTTCTATTGAATCGGATTGTATCAACATATTTATAAGAGGTTATGCAGTGGCTTAAGAGTAATTAAATTTTGTTCATCAGTGATTACCACCCCATGTTCCCCACTGCTCCATCTCTGAAGGCTGAGAGAGAAGTGAGTGGGCTTTGAGCTAATTAATATTTCACAAATCGAATGATAATTTGTGTGCTCACTCATAACTCACATTATTGATGGTTTCAAAATAGAACGACTTTTAATAAATACCATTTATTTGCTAGACAAAAACATGAGAGACACCTCTAAGAGTGAAAGTGGTGGAGATCTCTAGGGTATAGTCTGGCTCTAAAAATCTCACAGCTGTCATTTATCTTTCTTTTAAATCAGTATGTAACAGGTAGCTTATCAACTGTGCAAATGATGACATTCCTTATGGCCATTCCAAGGGAAGTGGATTTGAATTTTCTTCTAGAGGGTTACTTACTGCTTTCTGTGTAATCTTTCTTCAAAGCAACATTACTGGAGTCTTGTGCATACAAACTCGATTTTGTGTGTAACTTATACATAGAGCAAAGCACTGGGTATTAAATCTAGAGAACAGGATCAGGTACTTACCTTGGGGCACCTGCTACCTGAGGAGTCTATATTTGATAATACTAACCAGGCTTAGCTCGTAGCCAGGGGTTTTCAACTTTTCAGTGACTTAGGAACACTAACCAGAAGCCCAGGGCTCAACTTGCTGCAGACTCTAGATTGTTTTGAGTTAAATTTCATTCTCTACCTCTTGGTCAGTCTCTCTCTCTCTCTCTCTCTCTCTCTCTCTCCCCCCCTCTTTTTCTCTCTCATCATCCCCCTCCTTTCTAAACTCAATCTCCTTGTGTTTCTTGTAAGTATAATTTTAATAAAACAAGTCTTTTGAAGTTCATGGTTTACTTTTATAATTCATTTCTGCACGCTTCATTAATTTGGCAAGACATTTTTGCCCTGACTTTGGACAATGATTCTTGGGGAAAAACTAACAATTGGATCAGTAGCTGTTTATCACTCTTCTAAAGAAACAGTTATCTTCTATAAAAATGCTCTTTTGTTCCATGCTCTCTTAATTTTCATACCCATTATAAACCAGGAATGATGACAAGATGCTTCTGGAACCAAGTTCCGCCATGTTGGGACATCTCATCTTTCATTTTTGTAGTGAAAAACAAATAATGAATAGTTGTTTACTCTTCCCCATCCACTGAGACATCCATAGAGAGGAAGTCTAATTCTTATATTCTGTAGCATAAGTAAAAATTATTTTTTGAATCAGTTTGTGTTTGCACTAGTTCAAATTTCTGGACTTGGAATTTCTTCCTTGGCACTCACTCTACATGCATCATCTTTGACCTATGCTCATCCTACAAGCTGATGATGCAGTACGGGTGATGATCGTTTCTACATAGTAAGTGTGAAGTTTATCTGTGACACAGACAAGTCTGTGTTAACTCTACATCTTTTTCCAAAAGGATAGAGATTAAGATTTGCCATATTTATATGATGTTGTCTGTCTGTTTTAGGATGAGATAAATTCCACACACACAAACAAAAAACAAAACACACACAAAAAACATGCTGTTGCCTCTGAGTTTCAACCTTAACTTAAAACTCCTTTCTATTTTTGGAGAAGTTTCCCTTTAATTTCTTTGTACTTTTTCTACATGGAGACCAATGAGAAAATCACAAAGTCATTAAACACTAGGAAAAGTGTTTAATGATAGCTTAAAATGTGACCATCATTAGCAATTGTTTAATAGAAATGATTTTTTTTTTTTTTACCATTTTCTATTCTTTCTCGGTGTTGGGGGGATGCAGGCTTTCTTTGCAGTTGGAAACATTTTGAAATGTGGTGAAGCCTTCAGTGTTTGTTATAGCTATAACCTCTATGACTTTGAGATTTTAAATCAACTTCCATTTGGAATATGCTCATTTTTAACTAAGGCTGCATATTATGACTGTCAGCTCCCACCCCTCCCCCAATAATTTTGATTGCTGTTTCTAGATCTTTTCCTTAAACCAATTTTTTTTTTCATATTTATAGGCTTCTGGATTTTTTGAACTCTTCTGAGACCAAAAGAAGAATAAATCAAAGAAGAACTCTGACCTTGGTATGTAGACACATCCCAGGTGGGATGTCCTAGAAATTATCTAGGGAATCTCCTTCAGAGAGCTTTGTTTTATTCAAAGTAGTGTTGAAGGTTGATTTCAGCAAGGAGGACATTCTCCTGTCTGATTTCTTTGACAATGATTTGGAAGATGTGTGACATAAAAATGAGCAACTTAAACTTTAATGGTTTTACTTTCGAAATACCTATATATCTTTCGAATATTCTGGCATGAGTTTGACTTTGGCCATCGCAGCTCTGATGGCATCTGCCTGCTAAGATGATGTACTTCTAACTGCTTAATATCTGGTCCTGAAAAAAAAAATGAATCCAGTTGCTAGAGATTCTGTTTGCATATAAGAAGAAACAGTCAGCACTTTCTAGGGAATGTGCTGTCATCACAAGACGTGAATTTTCATAATTCTGACGTTTATCACGGCTGGTTTGGGCAGGTGCCCTGTGGATGGTTCATAGTTTTGTTCTTTGTTGAGACTGAAAATGACTCTGGGTCTCTATTGTCCGAGAAATGAATGAAACACAATGATGAAGAGATTCATAGAGGAGTGGGTGTTGGGGTTTGTTTCTGTGGCTGGAGTTGAGGAGGTGGCACATTTGTTCACCAGCAAATTGTGGTCCAAATTTTCCCACATAAGGGGAGAGGAAGAGAAGGGGGTATGGAGTGTTAAGGGTTAATGGAGGCAGAACGAAGTTGACATTGGCCGTTCCTGCAACCCCTTGGCTACTGCAGAGAAAGAAATTATTCAGAAAACACCCTTGGCCCAGGGAGCATTTCATCCTCCAGCAAAACGTCTTTCTCACTGGCCTGAGATATACAAGGCAAAGTGTTGTGTTGCCTTGGGAAATCCCTTTCCAAGCTCGGATATGAAGAGGGTGATGCTGTTAACCACAAGCAGGGGCCCAATGGTGGATATAAAGGGCATTCATTTGTTGAACTATGGAATAGACTAGATGCTTGGTATCAAAAGCCTTGATCAAGTATTTTAGAAATCAGAGTTGGTTTCTTTAAAAAAAAAATAATTCTCTCTGGAGAGATTGGCTTATACGTTTGGCCATTTTGTTTTCATTCATTTCAAGTAGCTTTAAAAATTAAGCGTATCTATGAGCCCAAGCCATGCTTGGACTATGGATTTGAAGAAGTCAGTGTGCCTGGCCCCAGATAGGTAGTCCCAGCCTGTGGTCAGTTGATGCTTTTCGTCCTGGTTAGCAGAGTGACATCTGTTTAGACAGAGCAACCATGTTTAAGCATATCGAAGCCCAAAGCACTTGAATTTTCTAACAATGAGGACATTGGGTGTTTCTCTTTGTGTGTGCTAATGGTATGGACTGATTTTGCAGAATCACTGCAGCAAGCTGTAAATGATGTATGAAATGAAAAATTCCTGTCCAGTGCACAGAGCGAATATATACAGTTCTATGCAATCACTGCAGTACTGGGCTATTTGTTTTAATATTTCCTTCAGACATATAGTAATTTTTTTTTTTTGGTGACTCATTTCCAGATGCTTGCCATTGGCACATAGTTCAGATTTCCTTTGTACAGGTTTCAAGTGCATTTCAGCGTTGTTTAAGTATCCTTAAATTAATAAATACTGCATTCTAGAGGATTTGACCTTTAAAAATATTCTGAGGAAGATCAAAATCAATATTTTTGTATTGAAATATTTGGGAAATGCTAAGGAGCCCAAGAGGTAAAATTAGAAATCATTTAATTCCGTTACGGAGAAATAATTAACATTTAGTATATATTTTTGGAGATATTTTTCCCTCATAATAAGATAATATTCTTTTTATAAAATTTCATCCCATCAATTTATTTGTGAATTTTTATTGCCAGTCGCCAACAGGATTTGAACTTCTTTCCATGGTGTTCTAGCGTAACTTTCAATTCCTGTGTGTTCCTCAGTTGTCCTGATAAGTTTTGCTCATCCTATTATTGAATGGTGTTATATTTCCTTTTTTTCTAATTTTGCTAATGTAGATAATTCCCTGTGTTACATAGTATTGTTCGTGTGATTTGACTAATTGTGATGTATATTTGGTTATGCCAAACTGGCCTCTGTTCTTTTCTTTCCAGATTTTCCTGACTGACATTTGTGTTTCACATTGAATTTGGACAGTGACTGAATTGTATTTGGATTTTCTCATATGGATTCAGCCTTACATAGCAGAAATAAGTCACCTTAAGTCATGAGGATGTTTTAGTCAGGCTTCTGCCTATCAGAGTTCTCTCTGTACAGTTCCCTTTTTGCACCACTGTTGCTGCATTTTGGACAAAGAGTAATTGTGGCTTCATAATATTAATTAGCAAAATTCCTCCATCCTCCCCAGGCTCCGGAGCACTTTAAATAGCATGGAGTGACCTCCCTCCTTTAGATCTGATAGAATTAGCAACTGTATCTGGCTCATTTTGGGCAAAAAAAGTTCTTTGAAGACTCTAATTAGCTTTCAGAATTATTGACCTGTTCAGGATGCCTTCAATCTCTTACTGAATCAACTTCAGTAATTTATGTTTTTCTGTTGAATTATCATTTCACCTGGAGGTTAAATTTGTTAACATAGGTGCAAACAAAATCTTGTCGTAATTTACAAAATAATTTTATAAATCCATTGTTAATCCATTGTTAGTTCTTGATAGGAATTAACATTATCTTCATTAGCCATGCCACAGGTAGTTTTAAGGAACTAGCTCTTAAATTGTCTTACTATTTACATAGCTTTTTTCTTAAAATTTTTTTTCTTTGTAGTTATAGATGACAGAATCCCTTTATTTATTTTTATGTGGTGCTAAGTATCGAACCCAGTGCCTCACACATGCTAGGCAAACGCTCTGCCACTGAGCTACAACCTTAGCCCTTCATAGCTTTTTTTCTTGTTAATTTCTTAAGTAATATGCTTAGTTCATGTATCTTGCTTTGTTGTTGTTTACTAATAAATAGATTTTGGGGGAAAATACTCCAGCTCTTCACAAAATAGCTCTTACCTGGTCTGTAGACAGCTGTCAGTCTTCTGATTTCCTCAGCGCGGCCTACTGTGCGGCCCAGGGAATCTCACTTATTGGTGACAAGGGTGGCAGGGGTGAGTCATCTGACAGTAGGAGAATAGGTCTTTTCCTATTTTCTTTGTGTATATGCTCTTATGACTTTTTGCCACCATTTTTATTAGTAATATGCATACAGAATGAAATATGTGATATGTATGTAAATTACAAAGGAGAGTAATGAAATGAATACCTATAAATGCATGACCCAGCTTAAGGACAGGGACATTAATGGGACCGTGGCTTCTCCCACATGCACTTCTTCCCTAGTCCTGTTCCTTATGTCCTCTTCCCTGGAAAGGGATAGCCACCATTGTGGATACTGTGCTAAGCACTCTCTTGCCTTGTAAAAACAATAGGTTTTTAAAAAGTATCTATGTTGAATTGAACAATATGCTGAGATGTTTGAAATTTTTGAGTATCATAAAAATTTCATCACACTGAATGTAGGTTGAATACAAGTGAAGAATTTTCCCTCAATATTATATATCCAAGATCCACTCAGGTTCTTATATTTCACTTACTTCATTCACTTTACTACTGTACAGTAGCCTTTATGTGAATGCCTCATGTTTTTCAATCTGTTAATTAAATTAAAAACATTTTAATCTCATAAGATAATGTTGCTTTTTAATACTCTGCTATGTTTCTCCTGGTACTAACATATAAGAATTTCTTTTGGATATATAGATACCTCATATTCATAAAAGAATATAATCATAAATACAGAAAGTATAAAAGATTAATATGTTCTTATAATCCTTTTAATGTCTGCAGAACCTTAGTATTGATCTATCTGCCTTCTCTCTTACGATTCTATCTCATCATGAGTTTATCAATTTTATTGCCCTTTGGAAAAATAACAACGTTGGGTTCTGTTGATCATTTCACGTGATATATTCATTTCTTAATTTTTCTCACCTCTGCTTTTATTTCTCATTTGATACTGGTTTGGAGGTTGGAAGGGTAGATACAGTTTGGCCAACTGAAGAGCATAGAATGGTGAAATATTGGCCGGGCATGCAATGTTCTTGATGACATTCACTGGAATCTAGGAAATGCTCTTTCAATATGCATTTTAAAATAGATAGGTATTGGGTGTCCTAAAGTTCAGAAATGTCAACAGAGAGCTCTTCAAAATGTAGGCTCCCTTGATTACAGGTTGATACTGGGGATATTTTAGGACTTTTATTTATCTCCCCAACTTATCACACTCCCCTTGTTCCCAGAATGTCTTTGCTCCTTTCTCTTTCCCTGGCTCTTGATGAAATCACATTTCAAGATGGAAATATGCCTCCTAGGGGTGCCAGAGCAGAGATGATATCATAGATAGCGTTTCTGTAATTGATTTGATCTGCTATCCCAATCAGTCTTAAATGCACTACTCTGTCCTTAAACTATCATTGATTTTTATTTGCTTTGGTTACCTGTGTTTCCTGTTATGTTATTTTATTCCCTCAGTTCTGTCCCTTATTCTTGGGTAGTATCAATTTTCTTTACCTGGTGTGTGTCTGTCTTTGAAAAAAATCCTCAAGGATGATGCTGTTAGAGGGCCATATAACTGAGTGCCAGACATTCTTTCTCTGTACATATGGAATAGAGAGAGATGTATATGGGTTAATGTATGCACTTATAGAGAGGAATATTACAGCTCTTTCATGATATTTAAAACTAAATGCCACCGTTGTATTTTTTTTCCTAAGTCAGCCTAAACTTCCCTTAAAGGAAAGCTGAGAAAAGTAGTAATTTGGAACTAGTTGGCTTAACTTAAAAAGCTCCCCTGTGACATCAGAGTGTTTCATGCTATTGCTTTCTTAGACTTCCTCATTAAAATATTGACTACTCTTTTTCTTCAGTAAATGCTAATCCCAGCTCCCACGTACCTGTATTTACATTTCACTGCAGGCTGCCTGCCAGGTTAGAAATAAAACCAATTTGTTAATAT